AATAACGTGTATTACCCTTATCCCTGGTCCTAATTAGCGACGCAAACATAAGCATAAGCATAAGGATAAAAGAAGTTTATGCGCTAGTGAGGACAGCCACGACATAAGCATAAGCATAAGAATATTAAAACCTTGCGTTCTTGTTATGCTTATGCTTATGCCTATGTCGCTATTGCGTCCAGTCAGGACATGTTGGCATAAGCATAAACATAAGCATAAGCGTAAGACTATCAGCCAATCAGCGAGCACTTTATGCTTATGTCAACATGTCCTCAGTGAGCATAAGCCTAAGCATAAGAAGAAAGCTTATGCTATGCTTAAGTCGCGGCTGTCCTCACTAGCATATGAGCTTCTTACTGCTTATGTTTATACTTATGCTTGCGTCGCCAGTGAGGACCGGCCTTTAAAAATCATGCACCGCGGTTACACAGGACATGATTACCCGTGACCTTGAGTGGCCTTGAAATGATTATTGTATAATCTGCAGCTAGATGACGTCACAGGCGCTGATTTCGAAAATTCATTGTACGCTTTCGGCCAATCAGAAAAGAGATAGTAAGTTCAATGTGTAATAATAGAAGAAATCAATTGGAATCACGCGCACGATGCCACTGACTACGGAAGGAATCATGTGAAATTACACGCGTGATGCCACTGACTACAGAAGAAATCAAACAAAATTACGCGCGCGACGCCACTGACTACAGAAGAAATCAAGTGAAATTAAGCGCGTGATGCCACTGACTACAGCAGGAATCAAGTGAAATTATGCATGCGATGCCACTGACTACAGAAGGAATCAAACTCAATATAACACGCGCGATGACGCCGACTATAGAAGAAATCAAGTGAAATTACGCTCGAGATGCCACTGACCACAGCAGGAATCAAGTGAAATTGCGCATGCGATGCCACTGACTACAGAAGGAATCAAACTTAATATAACACGCGCGATGATGCCGACTATAGAAGAAATCAAGTGAAATTACGCGCGAGATGTCACTGATTAGTAGAAGAAATCGAGTGAAATTACGCACGTGATGTCATTGACTACAGAAGAAATCAAATGTACCACTGACTACAGCAGGAATCAAGTGAAATTACGCACGCGCTGCCACTGACTACAGAAGGAATCAAGCTCAATATAACGCCGAATATAGAAGGAATCAAGTGGAATTACGCTCGGGATGCCACTAACTAGCAGAAGGAATCGAGTGAAATTATGCACGTAATGTCACTGACTACAGAAGGAATCAAATGTGCCACTGACTACAGTAAGAATCAAGTGAAATTACGTGCGCGCTGCCACTGATTACAGTGTAAGAATCAAGTGAAATTAGGCACGCGATGACACTGACTACAGCAGGAATCAAGGTCAATAACGCGTGTGATTACACCGACTACAGAAGGAATCAAGTGAAATTACGCGCGGGATGCCACTCATTACAGAAGGAATCAAGAATCAAGTGAAACAACGCGCGTGATGCCACTTACTACAGAAGAAAATTAGTCAAATTACGCGCGCGATGTCACTCAGTACAAAAGGACTCAAGGAGAAAAAAACTGAGATGTTTGTATCACCAGGGTGAGGGATGAATCGCGCGCGAAAAGTCCCGCGCGATGCCTGACTGGATTAGTCATCAAGTTAAGGTCATGTACGCAGATTTTCGTGCAGATGTACTACGTATTAGGATTTCTGAACTTGACGTTATTAAAAAGACGGTATAAAGATAATTTTACTAAATTTACTTCAAAATGGCAATAGTTGCTGTTGTTTCATGTTATTTTATTTCACTGACAAGAGTAAAATAAATTTGTACCAGCATTTTATATACTCAGTATACACCTCAATCAAAGACAGATAATACAAATTTGAAGTTAACGAATAGCAAAGGGTATAAATTATCCAAGTAAGCAATTAAATTCAAAGGTTTTTTAAATCGCGGAAATTTTTATTTTGAGACCAAATATGTTGAAAAATTTTCCAAGAAAATATTGAAATTGGTTTTCTTTTTGAAAATTTCTAAAAGCTGTATTTGGGAATGCCTTGCATTTGTAAATTTAATACTATTTGTGCACTATAATAAATATCTATAGCGCAACGCAAAACACGGGTTAAAAGTTTGGCTGCAGTACTTCGGCGAGCCCTTAGGGCGAATCAGAGTTCAAATAACAAGTAGAAATGTTCGGTGATACGCACATTCAAATGTCTAGTAAGACACGTTTTATCCTCATAGTGTCATCCCTAGACTTCCAAAAAATCAATAAAAAAAAATACTGATAATGTACAGGCAATTAGGTTCCAGTCTTTCTCCGTAGCATTTAAATTGAATTGAGGATGTATGTTGAAGAATACGAAACGTCTTTCCAGCAGACTTAAAGATAGGTCCGTATATTATCAGTTTTTCACTACTCAATCATTTCTTTTACAATAAGTTTCTAGTCTTTCTCCATAATATTTAAATTGAACTGAATTGTATTCCTTCAGAGGAGCATCTGGCCATTTTTTTTCCGTACGGTACTCGGCTTTCGCAGCTGTCCTGATAGCATCTGTCGTTTTCTGAATCCAGTTGTTAAGCTTGATAGAAAAAAAAATTCGCAGTATATTCAATGAAACTCATTTTTCGCATACAGCTCCCTGCTCAAACCTGTATTGTGCCATTTGACAGATTCCGTACAGATGAACAAACGCTGCAGCCAGAACAAGCAAATGGAAGATCTGATGGCTCTGGAACTAAAGAAGATAGAAACGATACTTTAAATGTGATAAAAGGATAAATCGGTAGGCGATAAAAGTTTTTGCCTAACAGACTTTTCAAAGGTCTGTTAAGCAAAAACTTCTTTTGAGTTTTAGTTTCCAGTATGTCGGCAGGAACTCGTTGTTTGATTGTGGCTGATGGTATCCGCTGGCCTGCGAGCAAGGTCACCTCTGGGTTACACGCGCATGCAGCGACCCTGTTCGTTGGAAGTTAGCGCCCCGCTGAAAATTACTCGCCAAATGGAGTGAGTGGAACGGGGGAGCCAATTCTCTTGGCTTATACAAACTGAAGCAACGAAAAGAGAGACACTAGAATATGAAAGTTATCTGCTCACCCAGACGTCACATTTGCCGGGAAAAAATCTCTCAGGAATCCTTGTAGCATACATGACAGCACTGGCAGTGTACAAGAGGCACATGAGAGATACCCATCCACCGGCCGCCTGTCGATAAGCTATCGTCAAACCGTACTCAGCTATCAGGTGAATGGCGGGAATAAATCCAGAATATCCAAAAGAAATTACTAGACCTGTAAAACACATGATTGTAAGGTTACTGATCGTACATAGCCTGCTTTTCAAGTCCAGCGCCTGGGTTTTGTGCGCACCTTTACTGGGAACGGATTTCATGTTGCTACGTCACGCTTTAAGCGCCAGAGTAACAAACTGGACAAGTATAGAGTTTTAGACGCTGAAATAGCTTTGCCTCGGATTTGCCTCTCTTAGATGTCTGGTGATCCTCGTTTTTTCTTTCAAAAGATCGATTCATTTATTGCTAATCTCCACTTTCACAGGAAGCAAAATGTCAGTATGTGAAAGTTGTTTCAATTGTTGTTCTACTCGCGAGCGATCGAATTCACCTCATATGTCTGAGTGACTACGCATGTCTTAGAAGCATCCGCATGAGAGGTATATTCTACCTGAGGGAATTACATCCTTGACGAGACATTCTGCTTTCTAAAGAAGACACGCTGCAAAAGCATCGTAATACGACGTCTAAGAAAACGCTGCCCACAAATGCTCTAAAAAAATATATAAAAACCTTACTTGCTCTCAACAGTCGGTACTCAGGAGCGTTGAACTTGTCCCACAAAGAAACGATGATGCAAATGATACCAAGAGAACAGATCAGACAAATGTAAACAACCTTGAGAACTCTTGAACAATAGAATCCATAATAAAGAGGAGGGATGAACGATCCCATAATGAAGATAGCAATGCCTGAGTAGTCAAGTCTTAAAAAACAATAGTACAAAATGTCAGTCACTTTCCAAGTAATGAAAAGTATGAACATGGAAAACAGAAACTTTACATCGAAGCATTTTAATGATAAACTATCAAAGCTTAGTGCTTGTATAGCTAAGTGCATGACCACTATAAATAAGATTTACATTTTCATACATTTACATAAACTAATAACAGTGAGGTAACTGTAACTTTTACTATAGCAAAAATATTTTGACTCTCTGGCTGGCTAAATGACTGACTTACTGCAGATCTAGACTGAAGACTGACTGACTGACTGACTGATTGAGTGACTGACGGACGGACTGACTGACTGACTGGCTGGCTGGCTGGCTGAATAACTGACTGACGGACGGCGAGACGGACCGACCGAGACCGACTGGTTGGCTGGCTGATGGACGGACGGACTGATTGACTGACTGACTACCTGATTGAGTAACTGAATGAATGACCGATTCTAATCTACGTTTAAACCTTACCTGCGAAATATCTTGGAAACCACCTTAGAGTGACAGTAGACGGTGTGAAAAATCCACGAAATACCCAAACACAAGATTGCACCGGCAAAGAAACAGCCAAATATAAGCTTCTCCTGCCAGTCTTTAGGAAATGGGGTGTAAGCAGTGATTGGTCGTAAAAGCATGTAACTTGTAATGCAAACAAAGATAATAAAACCAATCAAGTGAGTCCATATATTTCCAGTTTCACTGTGAATTTTAAAAATGCTCTTGAAGCAGGATGTAAAGGATGGCATGGGCGGTCTGTGGAAGTGAGATAAAAACTCGTTCCCGCGTAGCCATTCCGGAAGTTCAGAGTGGGACAGAAGTTTCCTTCTTGAGGGTTCTGTGGTTCGCTCTGGGCAATCCGATAGCTCATACTGAGGTAAAAGATATCTTTCAGGAGGTACTAACTCTATGGCTCTCGGTGAAACAATCTTGAGTTGCTCTGCAGCACCATTCATGCTTTCTTGTACATTCTCCTCTGAATTTTTCTGTTTATCTTTTTCACTATAGTCGGACATGTCTTTTCTGGAGTTAATATACAGTACCTCCTACCGTTAGCTTGCAAAGACTCTTTTTCTGTTTTCACCATGAAGACCTACAAAATGAAACATGCAAGGAATACTTCATGAACAAACTAAACAGAGTTTTTAGGTTTGGTAATATGAACAGCCGGTTGAAAAAAAATTCGGGTTTAGTTCTCCTGCTTCAAATGTTAACTTACTGCGGTATAATAGAACAATTAAGTGACCTCATTTACTTGTTTTCGCACCGTTGTGCTAATTAATAATCTCACCTGTTTTCAAGTCCGCACTAGTCTGGATGAATTTGAAATCGAAAACGCAATTTTTTTTCCGTCGGCTAGCTTGACCTATAGCTCACACAAAACGACGTTTTCCACCACCAAAACATAGCTTTTTCGGAAACGGAAATACGTTACAATCGAATTTCTGACAACGCTAATGTCACTTCTGTTTTGGGGCTGTTTTCAGTGCGGACAGAAAGCAAAGCCGAGAGAAAAGTGAGGACGGAAAATATTTTATCCGTTTTCGTGGCGAAAAATGACGGCTTCAAACGCAAATACTGGGATTATTTGGGGCGGAGCTTGACTGGCAGTTCCAAACTTTAGCAAGAGAAGCCAAAAGTTTAAACTCGTTTGCTACTAACCCTTATTTCATCTCAAACTCGTCACTCTCGCTCATAAACTCTCTACTTCTGTCGTCGAATTTAAACATGCTTAAACTTCATAACAGTCGACGAGAGTTTTCGCTCTCGCACCGCACAAGTGTTGTCAACTCTCGTGTATTGGCGATAGTCAATACAATAGTCAATAGTCAATAGTCAATGGATAGTCAATGAATTAACTCTTGGCAGTTATTACCTTCTTTTTGCGCGGACTGTTTTTTTTTGTTAGGGGGGTAGGTAGGGAGGGGGCTCTTGACGCTAGACCCTGACCGAGTATTTCATCACTGCATCATTCATTCAAATCAATAACTTAAGCCAATAAATACCAGATGCAATAACAATGAAGTCAATAAAAGAGGCTTCGCGTGGCTCAAATGGGCTAAACTGCTCTCTTTTGAAGCACTGAGGTAAGCGTTTTACGGTCTTTTCGCAGAAAGCATTAAAACAAGTTCACATAAAGCCGGTGCGCATATTTTATACTGGTAATTCCGAGTATGATTCCATTATACCGGCATTACTGAGGCCACGGAGATTGAATCGAATCCCCTGAACGCATAAGATAATGAAAGATAGGTTATGTTACTGGCACAATAAAAATAATGGTCGAGTTGTGTCTTAATTGATGTGATCATAAACTGTCAAGTTATATACTCGTTTCACACTTTGACTGATTCGGTGTGTTTGTAGTTACATACCTTATGGTAACCTCCGATGTCCGTGCAGGTCCATGGTCTGTTTCGGCGCTGTTGATATATTGTAATGAACGGCCGGCCTCGTGATACAAAGGTAGCTATGAACAGGATCTCCTGAATCAGAATTGTATCGAGTTTCCGCTCTCAGCAAATGACGTCTCGGACAATAGAGAGCGCACAAAGCCGGGGCTTAACCTTAATCTCTAAAGAACTCCAGACTATGTTTAATAAATCATTCAAACACATCACCGCGACATGCGTATGAATATTTTCACTCCTATAATAACACCATGGTAAAGCAAGCTCTCAAGCACTTGTTTTCGGTTTTCAAGCAAAACTAGCTCGGACTCAAGATGAAAAAAATTATAGTTAAATTTTAAATTAATCGCCGTTTTTTTCCTAGTTTTATAAATCACTCAATGCTAGTCTAGATTCCAAGCTATAGGTGAGAATGTTTATCAACTAAAGTCGAGCACGGTGTGATTATAGTTTTTGGTGGAATACCACATTTCGTCACCTCAGACCGACCATCCGGGCATTCTCTGGCTCCTGTCTATGCCTTACCCGGATGCAGTCAAAACTTTGTCTAGACAGAAAGAGAAATTCGGATTTCCATTGACATAAGCTCGAGTTTTCAATGGATAGCTTCAGTTTTATTGAAAATTGTTCCAACGAAACCTTATTAAATATTCAAATTGACACCTTTGAGTGAAATAGCAACAATTCCTAATGTGGTTACTAATGGTACTGGTTGTGCAGACCGCTAAAGCTACAGTATACGATCTCAACAAACCAGCTCAGTTCTACACGGTTTAAATTCTACATTCTGTTCGAAACAAACTAAAGATAATGTTACCGGGCTTTACCTTAAATAAACAGATAAGGCTCACCTGACTTCTGGCTCAGACATCATTTTAATATCCAATTTATGCCACCAAACACTGAACGACGGTCGCCCAACTTTAGAGTCAACTCGTTACTTTATGCATCGCTTTGAACTTCTCGTACTCCATGACTGTTTTATGTTTCAGTATTCATGAGCTGAATTATCCCTTCTTCGTTCAACGAAGACTACGAACGAAAAGGGAAGCAATACTCAAAAAACAGCCTTTATAGATCAGTTTATAAGTTAGCATTTCACACGATTTGAAAACCAATATGTTTATTCCCGCAATAAAACCTTATAACCACATTACATACATTGAGCAATGCATTAATGGTGAAATTTTAAACATGTTTGCACAAATTAAATGCACTAAAGTGCTCCTAGTTTGGTACTTAATATTTTGATCTAAATATCATGAAACGCCTTGACGAAGTAAGAAGTAAAGACACAAAAAAAATATTATCTCTTATGACAAATCATTAACAGCCATGATTTGTACAATAGCAAACGATTCTTGTTTAAATTTGGTTTGCGGGCGAAACGTCCGATGCAAATTTACTTTCAATGAAATTAAAACGAAACGGTAGAAAAACAAATTAAATACGTCGTCAGACTTGTAATTGTCAAAATAATCCACAAGTCAATGTAAAATCCCCCACTTTTGAATATTCATCCGCTGCACAATTTGTTTTCTTAAAATGGATTTTCTAGTACTGGAGAATTTCCAAGACTGAGGAGGATATCCTAGTGGAGATATTTGAGAGTTCAAGATTACAACGAACGAGAATTGTTATTGCCCATCATGTGTTTATAATCTGTGTAATTAGAAAGTTTTCAAGCTTTGACAGGTGCGAATTTATAATCATACGCAGGGTATTGTAAACTGCTACCCAACGCGGGAATCACAAGAACTAATACAATAAACGACAAGGAAAAACTCATGTAGCTGCTGCTTTTAGACAATCTGTTCTGTTTTGAGGTTAGGAAGTTTAAGCATTATACCGACGTCGACGCTAAAGACTACGCCCAGTTAAAAATGGATATATATTTTACCTTCGAATTTCGCAATTGTCTACATCTGTTCAGAACGAAGATCTGTCTAAAATACCTACCCAAATAATATCTAATGTCAGTGATCAATTCCAAAAGGAATTACGAAAAATTAGCAGCCCATGTTCTCCGAAATGCGGAGATCTTGGTCACGTTGTTGTATTGCAGAGGACAGCTACAAAAGTTTATAACGCACGTGCACAGCTGCTCATTAAACCTTTCTAGTTGCCATTACCGTCGCGGTTTGCTTAAGCTCCCTACATGTCGCGATTAAGTTTGTCTGTACTTTACTTTAATTAAACAGTGCTGTCATTTTGGACTGATGGGCAGATTGCAACTTTCTTGGTCATATGTCTAAGTTTCTTTTGCATTTGGCCATTAGCGGTATAAAATAATAACTAAAAGAAATAAATAACTTGATTTAAGTGTCAAATAATGTACTTAGCACTGTTGTGCTAATTGGGGACACTGTAAATAAGTAAACAAATACAGTTTCAAAATATTCACAAGTAGAGAAATTTGAATCATTTAGGCATTATTTGACGAATTTATAAGATTGTTATATACTGCATCGGTGTGATCAACCAAAGCGGGACGTGGGAGAAAACCAGAAATCTTGCTCATCACTGACAATTTCTAGTTTTATTCCAAAATCCCAAGAAATAAAAATTTCTATAATTTGCACGTGGTTTAGTAGTGAAATAATCATTAGCAGTATACTGACTAATCATCACCTTGTCTAAGACAGTATGACATTTGGCCTTGGCTTTTTGTAAGCTCTCTTTATAACATGCATAATTCGTGTTCTACCAACATCCCACCTGTGATTTATTGAACTGAAACCGCAGAAATGCAGGCTCTTTTGGCTAAAATGAGCTAAAATGAATACAACACCCTGTCGTTTAAGAACGCTTGAGAATGAAGAAAACACTCACCAAGGAGTCGTGCTTTCTTCATTTAAGATTCTGGATGAAGTTTAACTGATACCTTGGTCAGAACTGGTCTGAGAATTAGACAGGCAAGCCAAACGTTCGATACGAGAAATTGACACTTGAAAACTCAACGATGCCTCGGCCGTTGACTGTTCCATGTATTCTGTACATCGCACAATGGTCCACGTCGCCCGTTTCCCTGGATTTTATTCAAAAAATTAAAAACATTACGCTTCTCTTACGATCTTTTACCACAGGCAGCATGCTTTTAGCAATGCAAATTCTGTAAATTTGTAGGCTAAACCGAACATACTTCGTAGATAAAGCTTTAAAACCCGCGTGGTGCGCACTGATCGTGTGCTTCGGCTAATTAACGATTGAAGATACCGTCCAACTACATGAGAGGAAGGCTTGATTCAAGAAAGACTGTGGAAACAACGACCTTGTTGTCAAAGGCTGTTTGAAATGTTTTTACATGTTCAGGGCTATTTGCATGACTATGGAAAAAAATGATTGTTTTGTTTTTATATTAAGTGTTGTCTGCGGGACTAACGCGCGCCGTCCCCATAGTGTTTGGCTGTTCCAAAGCAAAGATACTCGTATTTAACTTTCCTGAAATGAGAAAAATCACATTCAACTTAGTATAGATACACTACTGAAACTGAATGATTTTAACAGTCAAGAATGTCGCATGTTGAGCCAGGTATTAAAACCACTACTAAATTCATTATTTGACGGCGAAAATTACTTCACTGTGATTGGCTTCATTTGCACTAGCTGCAGTGCAAATTAACGTGTGCGCGTTCGTAATTTTCTCAGTCATATTATAAATGAGTAATAATATAAATGCTCGAGCCATTAAGGGTTTAAACTACTCGTTATATTTGAAAATTCTTTCAAATTTCACTGGCCCAAAGGCTCGTACAATTTTGAGAGAATTTTCAAATATCACTCTTACCGAAAGTCCTTAATTGCACTCGCATTCACACGATTACCAAAACTAAAATTTTAAGTTTATAATTCGCATATGCATGCTAATTACAGAACTGCAATTGATACTTAACAAAACCTGCAGGTACGGATCACAAAAGAACTCCTGTAATGTTACCACTAAAGGTGACCAATAACCAGCCGAATCATGCAGGAAAAATAATTAATTCACTTTTTCATTGTAAAGAATAATTAACCATTGAAAAAATGGACAAAATGAAAATGGCTGAAGGAAACAGCAGCCTGTTTGGCGCGTCATTCCTTGTTGCGTCAAAACTCGCTCATGAACATAGTGTTTGAGAAATCGTGAATTGTTTTATCTCATCAACACTGTATCGAGGACATCAAAAGTCTTTCTTTATATCATTTGAAACTAGGCTTCTCCCAAAAAACATTCATACAGATGTGTTAAGCGGCGTCAGTGAGACAAGGTATGGTCGTTGTTATCTTTGTATTTCTCCCCTGCAGAGTGTCTATCTTTGCAAAGAAAGATGAAAAGCTTCGGAAGCTAATGATAAACACAATGATTAACACAATGATTTTTGTTTTTATTTGATACTATCAGTTCACCCAAACCATTCTACCTCATTCTCTTGCCTAAACCATAGTTAATAGAGGGGATCCGAATGGTTATGAAACCCGACAAAGTTCTTTGTTTTATGTTTTTGTTCGCTTTTTTGGCCTTGACCGTGCACAAAACACAATAGTTGTTCGCTTTTTTGGCCTCGACGTGCACAAAAAACGTGTTGGGAACGTAATTCATGCATAGTGTATGAGCGCAAAACAAGAGATTGTGCACGGTCTTGGACCTTCCAATATAAATCTTGACATCTTTGTTAGCTCCTTTGATGTTTACTGGGCTTCGTAACCAGTCCCCTCTATTGACTATGCCTAAGCCTATAACAATAATGAAAAAATTAGAGTTGGCATTGATGAAAGAGTGCAAAAAAATCGTGCCAACTAAAGTAATGGCTTTTATTCTATACTTCTAATGCCTAAACCAAGGGTTTTTCGCGGTTTGGTGTAATTTTCTTCAATTTCCTTTGGCGATGTCTTCCACGATTGTCACAGCACACAGAAGCCGGCCATGCAGATAAGAATTTTATAGGCGAAAACAGTAGGAGTTATAAAGGTTATAAAGGTAGTTTCTCATTTTTGTGCAAATTTAGGTTTTAATTACCACCGCTGGGCCTGGTAGACTATGGTCTTACCTATTTCCCAAGATATGAGTCCTGTAGTGGAGAAAATACATTTTTATCTCTCTGCCAAATTGTACAGGCTTTTACCGAAGGAAAATATTGAGAAAATCTAGGCAAAAAGTTTTAACTGCTTTCAGCCAGTAGTTACGTAACCAAAGTAGAACTTTCAGCCATGCAAGAGGATTGTTTGCTGAGAATTTGATCCAATTCTATCGATCAATTTTAGAATAAACATTGCCATTAGAAGAAAACGGCGATATAAGGACTTAAAAGCTACTGACTGGGATCTAGGGAGGAAGAGATAGCAGGCTTCTCATCAGATCGCCCTTAAGTCGCTCCGCTCTTGGACTTTTTCGACCGTTATATTTCCCGTTAGCTAGCCTGCTCATTGTGAGAGACCGGACGCATACGGATGACGCACCAGTCATAGTGAAAACTGCGTCAAACCCGGAAAATTAAAGATAGTTCGTGGCACAAAAGAAGACGTTCCAGATTAAAAAAGAGTACGTCATAAATGGCGCAGCTAAATCTGAGCCTAAGTCATCCTCACTCTTCACTAAGTCTATTATTTTCAATGACATTTATTACTTGGTAATATCTACCTACGGAAGGTCAACGTTTTATTGGTATTTCATTGAACTATGGAAAGTACTCCGCTACATGGACTCGCGAACATTACAAGGAACTGAAATTTTCTTTCAGAAAATCTAGTCAACGATCAAAAATTCTCACCACTCAAATGTTGTGCAATTTTATTTGCAGAATGAAGTGGATAGCGTTATTTTGGTTTCCTTTCGTCACTGGATGTAGAATGGCTAAGTTTGTTAAAGAGGAAGATGTAGCATTAGAGAATCACGTGATAGCAACCGTAACAGCTGCTGACCCGATAAAATGTCGCTGGGATTGCGTGGACACACCTCCCTGTTTCTCTGTGAACGTGCGAAAACTGGGAGAAACAGGACGAGTCACGTGTGAGCTTAACAATTCTAGCAAAGCCGCTGACCCACAAGATTTGTTACCAAGCGCGGGAACTCAGTATCATCAAATGGCGGTAAATTAAAAATGCTTTCTCGGCTACTTTCTTGGGTTTCTATGCATCTTTGCATCTGTATAATAACTCATTTTTTCCAAATTTCTTGGTTAGGTCGGAAAATATTTTTTCATGTGATATTTGCAGTAACTGGACCTGTTCCAACATCCAGTAACCTGTTCCGTACAAGCTTTTGGTTAGTTCGCGAGCAGCGCAAACACGAAGAAGGGCGAGCGAAAAGGAGCTTTTAGTCGTTGAGATGCGGCAAACCCTTAGCCTTTCTTTCCTTCTACCTTTCTCCGTGTTTATCTCGTTCTTCGCGCTTCTCCCCAACTAACCATAAACCTGGAACAGGCTAGCGATTCAAACAGGCTTGTTTCTTTTCAAAAGTGAAATGAATACATTTGATTGAAGTTGTGTCTCTTCCTTCTTCAGGAGGTGGAACGTTGTACATTGGAAAAATGTGACTATAAGGATGGTAAGACTCCATTTTAACCTATGGTTAGCTCCGTGAGTGGGCAAGATAAAGCCATCTCAACTATTTTGACTCTCGGGTTTGCCCGCTGTATCCCGCCTGAAAATGGTGATCTGTATCGTTGCATACGGTGGCTGCGCTCGCAGTACAAGCGGCAGTCAAAACTTAACTGTTCTTCTGAAAAGAGGGACACGATAATGGTCTTTTTCTTCCTCGCAGCTTACAAAAATAAAGACAACGCTTAAGTTGTTTTGGCCTCTTTTGATACTTAACTCGAAAATTCTGGGTTTAATTTGACGAACAACAACATATTTTGTTTAAAATGACACAACTGTTATTATATTCTACCAGCTGACCTCAACTAACGACGAGCAACGGGTGAGTTGCCGGACGCGGGAGATCCAGTTTTACCACTAAATAAAAGCTTGGAGACAAAAAATGATATTTTTAACTTATTACAATCTGTTGTGGTTTTTGCAATTAAAAATTCCTTTTCACGATATATCCAGTGCCATCTCCAGTGAGAAAAGTTGCCCGACTTCAAATGCTTTCGCTGTTAACATACGTTGACGTCAGGACAGTACAGGTTTTCCCGCTTGCTGAATCCTGATTGGTCAATTCAAATTTCAGACGCACCAGCCGTATGCAAGGATGTCATACATATAGTAGATTCTTTTAAAATTGGACCTAGTTTGCTCGGTCAAGATGTGTACAATTAGTGTCACACTGTTGGTACTCTGGCATTTTTTAATCGTAATGCCTACCCTCCCACAGAGGATGTTGGCTTCGATAATAGACCGAGATAGGGCTAACACGATCATTAATATGGGAAGGGTTTCATTTCTATGTTCCCAGCTCTTCCTGACGGCTGGTATAGATTCGGTTCCAAGCTTATCAAGTTGTTTCCAGAGAGAAGGACCTGGGAGCAAGCTCAACAGTTCTGTGAATCGATTGGTGGAGAACTGGTGTCAGTCAACAACAAGGACGAAAATGAATTTATATCTCATTTGCTTAACCAGATTAAAACAGACGCTGCAGGTGATCGTTATATCAATTTTTTAATTTAAAATAAAAATAAACCCTGCAGATTGAATTGCTGCAGGTTTTCCAGTCGTACGTGGTGAGTTATTAGGGGAAAAGGTACGATTTCTTACTAAAGTATGTCCCCGTTAAAATGTTACAAATCACTATCTCTTTCTTGGAACTTAAGAACTCACAACCCTGCTCCTCTATTAGTTGATCATTGCAAAGCTAATCCAGATGTCATGATCGTAAACTTCATTTTAGTGCCAGCCGTTTTTTTCAAGCTCGGCGAGGGTTGCCACAGGTCAGGAAATAATCAGGGAAAAAAATCTTCAAGGTTAGGAAAAAGTCAGGGAAAATTGAAATAATTTAACACGGCTGATTTAATAACATTGAAAACTGGAAGGAATATTTAGGGTCACTGTGATCTTAACGATGTTTTTCCCTAATGAAGAAGATTTGTTGAAGACTTATTAACCTTAATAAACGAGTAGAACGGATGGTTGTAAGTTGAGGCCAGAAGCCGCTACTAGATCTGACAATTTTGTAGTCATTTGGTCAGGGAAACTTGTTTTTAACAAGGAAAAGTCAGGGGAAAGTCAGGGACGTTTGAAAATTGATGTCTGTGGCAACCACGTTGGCGCGTGCACTACTTTGATTGGTGGCAGGATTTCTGGATCGTCCAATTAAAACGAACAGTTCCAATCAACTATAAGTTGACTAGAATTGTACCTCAGCTGAACGTAGATTTAAAAAAGAAAATGGTCATTCACTGTTACAGGTAAAGACCCAAACCAGACCATAGCACACTGGATTCTAGATGGATCTGATTCTGACGTCAGGTGGGTATTACCTCAAACCGCGGCTAAAGAAAACAGAGTACATCTTCGGCATATGATCTTCATTTTCGACGTCGTTTTAAATCCTACTAAGGGCAAAGATTTTGCTTAGACTTCTGTGGTTCATTTCTTTATCTGAGGTGATTCACAAAAACAACACGGATGACTTTTGCTCATCCACAAGCACTGCAACCAAAATAAGCGCCCGCGTTTGTAATTTTCTCAGCCATCTAATATTCGGGTAACCTTATGAAAGCTCGAGCAATTAAGGATTCACGCTACTCTTGATAACTGAATATTCTTTCAAATGGCACTCGCCTAAAAGGCTCGTGCAACTTTCAGTCAGAGAATTTTCAAATATCACTCGAAGTGTTCTTCCTTAATTGCAACAGCATTCACAGGATTACCTATATTTATTTCTCTCATCGATATTCTCAGTGTTTCGTTGTATCGTAGACCGTTTTGACAATCCATAGAGTGACGTGACCGAGTAGATTCCTTAAAATCTTTAACCCTCTTTAGTCTCAAACAAAAGGCTCGAAAAACATATGTCGTATAATTTGTTTCTGTGATATCGCAATAAATATTTACAGGAGGCTAATCTACTATATCTCATTTAAAAGAGCAAAAAAATTACTTTCTAGAAAAAAAGTTTGTCTTCATGGAAGCTAGTAGTATTTTTTTAAAAAAATGAAATGGATTAAGTTTGGCAAAAAAAACAAAAGAAAGAAAATGTTGGAAAGCAAAAAATTTGTATTTCCACTCTCTTGGTCGAATTTGATGTGGAGAGGATTCATTTTCCTCAATCTATGAGCAAACATATCTTGAAAACAGAACTTAAGAGAAAACGAAACAACAGTAACACATACAGAACCGTCAACAGATCGGACTCCACGTTCTTTAATCGCTCTCCCTGTCTATCACCTTGCTTCTCATGTCTCCTATTCACTTAAAATAAAGTGACTACTGCTCTTTGCTTCTTCAATAGTCTCGTAAATGGAGCTAGATACGAAGAGGAGGACGGTGTGAAATCCTTGTACCTGGACGGATCAGGGGCTTACGCTACAACCCCAGCAGTGGACGTAAGTCAAACAAGTTTTACCATCACCAGCTGGGTTAAACTTCAGAGCCCCGTGAATGTTGACTCGCCCATCTACGCCGACTGGTCAGATCCTGTAAAATTTATTGTTTATGGCTACTCGTCTGGATCGGTGTTCTTTGGAGCGGTTAATAACGAAGGTCATTATCGGCCTTGGTTTGGCGCTGGGTAAGCCGGGCTATTTGTCTGTTCTTTTCTAAGGGAAGGGTTATCTGAGTTACGTGAGGAGGAGTGGTCAAGCTTCAAAACACTTCCATTCCACTTCAGGTTTTCTTCAGCTCAGTGTTAATGATTCGGCGAGCAGGAAAGCACGGCACTCTCCTAAAATATTGATTTGTAGTTGTACTGCTTTGCCTGGGAAACTTAACCAATATAACTGGAATGGTTGTCAAACGTTTTGTGGAAGAAGTTTTAATTAAATTGGTATACATGCAGTACTGGCAGTTCAATGGGCACATAACTTGAAATAAATCCCAGTTACATTGGATAACTAGCTTGTTTGGGCAAGGAGTATATGACATGATGAAGAGTTTTTCCTTGTGTGCTTAAACAGGAAGTAAAAGGTTCCTTGGTCACGAATTTCTTGTCATGGAAACATTACTTGTCTCTTAGGCAACCGGCCTAGTCCTTTACCTATTAAAGTCCTTTACTTATTAAAGTAGCCTAGAAAAACATGTCCCTTTTGTCGTGGTTTGTTTGTTTGTTTTTTTTTTGAAGACGATATCACTGTCTTATCTGGTCTTCTAGGAGTTAGGCATCGTATATCTGGAAATTAAGAATTTCAGTCGCCCTTATCAGGTCCAGTCAAAAAATGTATTTGAGAGTATAATTCGTCTACAATAAGGAAAGTAAGAACTTTGTTTAAGTGTCAATGTATTTAGCCCATGTGGGCTAACTGGGGACACTGTATTAACTCTACCTAAAAGGAGGGATGGAGGGGAGATCATAGCGGCGTTGAAAACTCGAGGTCGTTTCTGCCGTGAGAGACTGTTATCCTCTGCTCTTGATAGGACTTAATGTCTTTAAATAAACCGCAATTCACCTTTTAGGGGACGCGGATGAGGTCTGGAAGCACGAGTAAATAGACAAGTCAGACTTTGCATACGTTTCCTCCTCGAGAGTCGTTTAAGAAACGTATAAATTGCAACAACATCCCTACGATGGATTACAACGCAGTGAAAAAAAAATAATTGTTTCAAATTTCGCCTAGGTCTCTAACAATTGACAAGTGGTCTCATGTCGCGGCGGTCTGGGACGGAAACTTAAACAAGGCACACTTGTTCCTGGATAGCGTCAGGTTTGGATCCCAGTCTTTGACAAGCGGCTCATACCCCAGGGATAATTCCCATTCCGTTTATGATATTGGATTGAAACGAGACTCTGGTACTGTACTGAAAGGACACCTGAGAGACCTGATGGTTATTGGAAGAGCTGTCACCGGTGAAGAGCTATTAAACATAGAAGGTAAATCGAATGTTTCTTCTTGCAGATCTTTTTTGCTGTCAAAGTTATTTCTGATACACCACTTAGTGGACCCATTCTAAGTTCTTTCATTTTTCCTATATCGTTTCCGAGTCACTAGGTTTCAATGAACCGACTACAAAGTTAACTTTGTACAACATGCTTTTCAGCTACTCTGGAATCAAGGTACTTGATTCCACTTTCATGCTCAGTACAATAATTGAAAGGCTAAAACCCTGGGTACGACGGTTGTGCTCAGCGGTTTATCAATTCTCAAGTGCAATCAATATATTATATTTAAAATAATTAGCAATGGTTCAGTGAAAAATAAAAACGTATCACGCTTTCAAATTTATTTGATTGGTTGGTTATTTCCTCTTTTTCGTCTTTCCCCTTCCAAATTTCAAGGGAAGAGCTTTGAGAACGAGGTTGAGTAAAAATTTGAGTGCCAAACAATTACTTGATCACTCCACATTGCTCCTCAAGTTCGGTTTTCAGTGGCTTATTCATCCTTAAATGTTTTAACTCCCCCTCATATGTGAATTAATCGTTTACAGATCCATTTGGTGGAGCATGGATCGGCCTGTGTGACGTCACCTCGGAAGGGAATTTCCGTTGGCCGGACGGTACCCACGTGACTTACACTAAGTGGGCTTCCAGTCTATCCCGCAACCAGAATGATAACCACGACTGCGTGAGAATGACGGTTGATAAGGGGGCCTGGGATGACACGAGCTGTGGAAAAGAACTTCCTTTTATTTGCGAAAAGAAAACCTATACTGTCATGACTTGAACCGAGCAAGTGGAGAGCCAAAATTTCCACTTTATTATATACAACTTTAAGTCGAGCTTTCTGTTAGTTTTTTAGTTTGTAAAATATGTATTTGACTTCTGATCATGAAGCAATTAAGAGCATCCACTTTCTCGCTGATATCACTAAAGTAACACAATCCAAATATCAAACTGGATTTGCGTTAAAATCTCCGTGTTTTATCGTCATAGCTATTGAAGCAGTACTTTGAAATTATGCTGTTTTGAGCCTGTAAATAAAGCTCTGGGTATGCCTTTTAATAATTCACGCTAAAACACGCTGTTTTACTTTGTTTTGTACAATGCGGTGGGTCAGGTGAGTTTAGCTTGAACGTAAGTTAAGTGTGTAATTGTTCCAACTGACAAAAATACAAATCATCAAGTGCTGTAAACTAATCGTTTTTAGACCCTCCTTGGGAGTGCAAGGGTGGCAGTTGACGAGGCTAATGAGTTGTTTCTAATAACGTAGAATAATATACTGGGTCAACCCTAGTGTGTGCCAGTAATTTAAACTGAAATCTACTGAGGAGTTCGTTATTGTTGGGCCGTTCGTTAAGTTATCTATTCATTTTTGTTTTGTAACGAAGTAATTGAATGAAGTAGAATATACAATGAAACTCCTCGGATCCGGACTGGGATGAAAAAGTGAAAAAAAAAAAAAGCTTCCCTTTAGAAACATGTCATTTCGAATGTTAAGAATAGATCAATCAATCAATCAAATAATCACTCTTTATTTGTACTCACTCTTGCTTAAAAAAACTACAATGTTCAATCAACGGTCAGCGAGAAAGATGGCAGTGATGTTTGGGCTTCGTTAAATTTAAAGTGAATTTAGCTAATCAAAGCTAAATATATTGAACGCAAAATATTTTTTTTTTACTGACAATCGGAAATAACAACGACACACATTTTTTTTTTTTTGCCCCGGCCCCCGTTGCTTGTTTTTAATTCGTATTGGTTAAACTTTCAGGCCATTACGAGAAAGAAATTGTTTATATTTTTTTCACCAAACAGTCGGCCATCATTAGATGTGGGATCAAGCTAACTAAGACAGCTGTGGTTCCCACGTAAGCTAATGTGATGTTAATGAGGGGATGTATCAGCACAGCTTCGGTCATATTTGTGCATCCATACGCCTGTATTTTAGGCAGACTCGTTACACAGGAACATTAAGCTCCATAACTTTGATTACCTTTCTTGAGAAGTTCAAACTTAAATCAAGAAATACTTATCCAAAGCTAAGAGCTGAAAGGTATGGAATGCATGTTTATCGTTTCTTTTACTTTATGACTTGTTTTTTCTAGGAGACTTCCTTTAGAACTCACTCCGGCGAAAATGTTTCGAAAATACTGACGCGTAGAAATTGGCAAGCCCGAGAGCCTATAAGCAATACTGACGAACACTCCAGGGAAAGAGGAAAAGGGAAAGCTGCTTATGATTTCGCGCTTACTCCCAAAACGCGCCTGAATCTCTTCAAGGTATTTCCAAGTTTTCGAAAACAAATACGAATAGTTATCCGGTGAGATAGCGTTGGTTGCCAGATAGAGAGGTCCAGGGATGGGTCTGGCTATGGTCGGTAATGATTTCATCTACTGAACAATTTGATTATGAGCTCGAGATTTCTGTCGCTTGATAGTTGACGATAGCGCAGCCCGAGTCAGGGATCACGCATAGAAATCGAGAGCGAATAATCTTATTGTCTTGGTACAAATCTGCTAGTACGTCGTTCAAAACTTTAATCTAAATCCTCTTCAAATACACTTCGAAAACGCAAAGAAGCGGCCGCCAGTTTGTTAACAAGCCCACACTGCTAGGCTATACTCACTATCTACAACAGAATGGATAGTGATAACGAGAAGCCGAGCCAATTCGAAAACTGCATTCGTGATAGAACGCTAGTAGATTTATACTATCAATTATTTTTTCTTGGTAGAATGAAGTGGATAGTGATATTTTGGTTTCCTTTCGTTACTGGATGTAAAATGGCTAAGTTTGTTAAAGAGGAAGGTGTGGCATTAGAGAATCACGTGATAGAAACCGTAACTGCTTCTGCCGCGGTAAAATGTCGCATGGAGTGCGTGGACACGCCTTTTTGTTTCTCTGTGAACGTGAGAAAAACGGGAGCGACAGGACGGGTCACGTGTGAGCTAAACAATTCTAGCAAAACTGCTGACCCACAAGATTTGATAGCAAGCGCGGAAAGTCAGTATCATCAAATGGCGGTGAGGGAAACAGTCATTTTGTACAACTGAGAGGTTGATGAGGATTTTCTTAATTCTTAAAGCCTCATTCATATAACCGGGAGAAATACAATTTTAATGAGATTAGTCGGTGTTTTGCTCCTGGTGTTTTGTTTTGTTGAGTCATTCCGTGAAGGGGTGGAAGTGGCGGAATTGTGGCTGCCTACCCCTAGAGGTTTTATTTGGCGCTATTCTGTATTCTAGGGGGTAGTAGAAAGGTATTTTTCCATTCAATTCAGAACATGACGTTTTATGTCGTGTTTTTAAGACTGTAAAATTTCGTTCTTTTAACCAAAACACACCTTAAAAGACTTCAAAAGAAATGAGCAGCAAGATTCTCAAAAGATGAAAAAGCGGGTACTAATGGCCGCGAGTCCAGGACATGGGATAAAAAACCAGTTAAATAAAAGACTCGTTGTATAAGGTTCTCTTCCAGAAAAATGTTTTTGGTGTTATAAGCATTTGTGTTTTCATAGCCAAACATCTACTTTATTCTCCCATTATACCCACAGGACGATTACGACCTTGAAAAAACAAAGCAAAACCTTTGCTCAGTGAATACGGCAATTTGTCTCGGTTTGAGATTTTCCCGTAATGTCTGTCTGCCGTAGCGTAATTTCTGTCTGTGACTGGAACTGTATGACTAAGGTCACTAAGCGTTTTGGAAGGAGTTGTCCATTGGCGGATCTAGACCTTGAACTAAGANTGAGCCCCCCGGACCCCTCCCCTAGATCCGCCACTGGTGTCCATTACTTTAAGTTAAACTGTATTCTAGTTTGTAATCCACGTATCCCCAGTTTGTCAATTGTATTTTTTCGTAGAGTACGTTAAATTTATCCTAATTAATAAACAAGCGGAAAGGTTTGGTCTAACCGACTGTGGATGAAGGGTTCTTTCTTATTGCAAGTTTGTCATTAAAAGCTACTTAAAATCTTTCATCAGTAGTGTTGAAGTTTTCCATGCGAAGAGGCTATGAACGCCTCCATGTTTTCTTACTCTTCTCTCGTGTCTATACAGCTTACTTATAATGTTTATCAAAGCCATGGATGAAAAAATTCTTGATCTGATTGCTTGTTTCAATTTCAGGAAATTGAACATTGTACTACGGAGCAATGTATCCACAAAGATGGTAAGATGTGTGACACTAAAGGTCTCCCATGCTCACAATGAAAGGGAAATGATTTTGAAGCAGAACCCTGAAAATG